AGCGGCTGGAATGCCAACCTTCTGAGCAGGAAAATGTGCGAGTCAAGGTTCTGTCTCTTCTTCTATCACAGTCTTGGTCTCAATTCCTAGTTGCAGAGTACGATCTTACTGAGTAATGAACATGAATTTGTCATTGCTTTATGCCACTGATATCCTGTCACGTACCTCATGTTAGTAGATTTTACTCCCACTGCAAACACTGATCATGATTCCTCATCCAGCATAATAGTGGGACAGCTGCTGGAGACCGAAGCTGACACTTTTCAAGAATAATGACTGTTCTCTCAGGTTTCTTCTCAAATGACTACTTGTGTTCAGTTGCCATAGATTTAGAGTGAAAGTCACTATTTCATCTCTCACACTTGCACAGATAAATACTGAAGTTAGGAGATGGGAGTTTTGCATTTAGACATATCATTACTTTTCAGTGGTAATTCACAACAACTAGCATGTTGATCCAATATAGTGAAGATTATTTTGCAGATATCACACACTTTGTTTTCCTTGTCCTTGTTGTGTGAAGATAGATAATTTTCAAAACCAAAAGCCCATTTTCTGAACTGTCTATTTTGTGTTAACCTTACGTCAGTGAGAAAGAAAATGAGTGATAAAGGGGTGACAGCCCGATCTGTCGACAAATGAAAAATAGGATGTTGCTAACCGTCGACAGAACAAAAAACCCGGAGCGTCGACATCGCGTGGTCAACATACCGTGACGGTGTTAAGTAATTAAAGAGAATGTTTGCTTGGTGATTTGCAAGTGGCTGTGGTGGTTATGTTCGATTCATGAGTAAATGAATTAAGTTAATTATAGAGAATGTCTTTTTAACAATTTGTAAGACAATTAAGGTTGCAAACAGACTATTATTTTACGTTATGCGAGTGGAAGGATTACCATTTTGGAGTTTAACATGCAAAATAAATACCCGAAAGAAACAGAGAGCTTATAAATTATTTTGGATACTGAGTTAAGAAGGATTATCGAAATGCTGTTGAAAACATTTATTTGGATACATTTGGATTATGTTACTACCACCTGGATAGAAGGTCCATGGACGAAGCCAACTTGGAATCATTTTGAAAATGATGGACACAGAACTAACAATAATTTGGAAGGTTGGCACAACAAAATCAACAAGTATGCCATAAAGACACACCCGAATGTGTTTGTGGTTGTGCAAATGCTGCAAAAAGAACAGTCAGCTACTGAAGTTAAAATTCAGCAGATCCAAGGACGCCGCAGAGACGCCGCTACCGAATCATCGACGCTTAGGATTCGATCCTTGAAGACCGACCTTCTTGCCGACAGACTTACTGACTTGAACTACACAGACCATGTGTCAAGAAGAAATATCTGGACTCATCTTTTATATATTTATTGCTTTCTATAACACACACACACAAATATACTGTGTGAGATTTATGAAATATATATACAAATATGTTATACTCTGTGAAATATGATGCATACATGTTGTTATATTGACTAAATAAATATATTGTCTTCTATATATATCACACTGTTTTTAATTGGTTCGTTAATTTCGAGAACACTGGGCGTAAAGTCACTCATGTACAACATCATCTCCCTTTCCCCGGACTGTCGACAAGTAATTTGGACGGATTATTTGTTGTTGTCGACAGTCCGGGTATAAACCGATAAAGGCAGGCCAAAAATTAAGAGCTTGTTGTGTAATCAGCAGAACAATGGTCACATTTACTACAGCTATATATAATTATTACCGTAAATTACCGTCTATAAGCCGACCCCATGGATAAGACGACCCCCAAACTTGACCCTTAAAATCAGTGTCAAAATGGTATGTTTCGTGCATAAGCTGATCCCACGCGATGGGGTTTTAAACGCGACACAGACCACAGACAACTGGCAGTTACCAATAATTATAACTTTGGTCCACATTATTCAAAGAATTAACAATCAAATATATTGCGTCTAATCACGGATCGAAACGAAGTGTAGTTGACAGAAAATGCATAATATATTTTGTTTCGCTAAATATCATATTTACTGTAGCAACAAACTGGCTTGCTTATTTTACCCCATTCAACAATCACGAACTGATTACCGCCTCATTTTCCATTGACTGCTAGTTTACAGTAACATCGGTAAAAATGTGTGAATTTAAATGGCTTCCGTATTTTACCCCATTCCATGTGTGTACAACTTCCGCTTACCACGTTCATGAGGGTCCGTATAACCTTAGTGTTGACTATATATATTTTACATTTATACAGCAAAAACTGTAATTAAAATTACACAATGCTAGGATATATTTCTTTGGGTTAAATAATAGTATTCTGTATTATATTTTATTGATGACTGCATCGGAATTCATCCCGTTATATTATTGTGCATGTTCGAACTTGATCGCCGGGAAATGTGTGCACAGCTGATTGCTATTTCCGGCTCAGATACACACGTAAAATTAATTCCTGAAAATAATACAATGCCCAGCAAAAACAATTTAGAACTTAAAAGGTAAATAATCTTGTCTAGTGATGTTTAATTGCAATTTTGACGTCTCTACTGAGTCGTCTTCTGTTGTTTGTTCACGCCAAGTGATACGATGTTGTTTTCTTACCCCTGGAAAAAAGTTTGACGAAAGCGTAACCCATGGATAAGACGACCCCCTTCTACAGACTGCTTTTTTGGGTCCTCAAAATTCGGCTTATAGACGGTAGTATACGGTATTATTCTTATTGTTAGGCTCATTTGCCCATATAGTCCTAATATCCAGCTCATCTGCTCAAAGGCGCTTTGTTTTCCCCTCTATCATTGAATGTCAGTCTCAAACAGTACATCGTATTATTCATCTCAACTCACGGTGATCATACAACTCTTGCAGCAGTTAGGCACACCAAGTTAACTCTTTCAACACCAGACAACCAGAATCATTTACTGCCATGACACCGAGTTCCCAGAGACTCTGAGGTCATAGATAAAGCCTATGTTTATCAATGAAAATATCAGCTCGTAAATCATTATTACTACTACATATCATACACCATTTGAAAGGTCTAATCCTACTGTTTATAAATATGAAAGTTATTTTTTATCATATTATTCAAGTAATACGACTACAACTTAAATAAGTTAGTTTTTAATGAAAATGCAAGCTTACACATTTATATGTCCAGATAAACCACGAAGGAAGCAAAATATGAGGCGATTTTTTTCCATTTGTAACATGTCAAAATATCCCCTTAACTTTTTCTTTTATATTTTCATTTTAAGTAATCGGAAAATTATTATAAAAAGATTTCTGAATATCTGTGGCTTTCCGCTCGGTAACGTGATACAACAGCGTGAAATACCTCCGTTTTCGAAGCTTCTTATGAATAACATGTGAGGCGATTCGTTTGATGGCGGGTATCATTCGACAGCTCTGAACATCAACAATATATCTGTACCCTTGCCAAGAGTATTTTCACAGTTGTAAGAAGCGATTTTATTGGATAAAGATTGGTTTCTAATGACGCTTATTTGCCTCAGTCTGCCATAAGGATCGTGATTGGTCAAAATCAGACATGTGACCTAAGGCAGCCAATCAAATAACAGCAATGGATACTGTCGTCGTAAACGAAAACCTGCAGGTTCAGACGAAAGTTTTGGGTAAAATCATGCTATTCTGAACGTGTTACGCAAAAAATCACCACCTATGCGTATATTATGGAACTTAGTGGACGTATCGTGCTAGGTTATGACCTGTGACAAGAAAGTTTAATGCATATATTTTAGCATTAACATTGTGCCCGAGCGTAAAGTTCGAAGCGACGTCGAAGCGACGAAAGCCGAGATGTCACTTGAAGTACATTACACGATCGCACAATAAAGATGGAAATAGTAAGTTGTAACGTACATTTGACAACTTGTATGAGTACTGTTGTTGATTTTATTCTTCCGTTTAATCAATTTGTGTAATTATTATCTCGAAACATTGTTACTTTGCTCTTTGACAACTCTGATGTGGACCCGTTGCCGAAGCATGTGTCCAAGAATCGTTGTTTTCAATAGCATTGCCAAAAATAGTTTATAATTCTAATTCATATTATATATGGCCATTTGAAATGTAATAAGTGTTTTCAGGCATTATGAAAAGTGATAGATTTGATAAATGAATCATATGTTAGTTAGGTTCCCAAAATTATATATCATTTTGATGCGACTACTGCCTGGCCGGTATTCCGGCCTTACGGTGTCTGGGGATTGGTGACGTCTTGGCCGGTTTTCCGGCCTACGGTGTTGAATGGGTTAATGTGACTTTCCCATACTTACGAGTAACCCATTCACAGCTGGGTGGACAGGACACATACTTGCTACATTGTCTAGTACTTTGTCCCAGTTCACTGCACGTTACTGTATCCGCAACTAGGTGTTTGCACATATTTATGTGGCCACCATCTGGTCATATACCAACAGATTCGTGGGTTCTTTTAAGTGCACAGGGTTGTGTACTGTACACTAGGGGGTGTGACAACACTGAAAGAGTCTGCACACAAAGTTGACTCCAAGGTTTTTACACACAGTCACAGGTGGGCTCAATCCCGGGCACCTCAAGCTCGCTGGATCACCAGCCTGGTGCCTTAGCCAGCTCACCCACCATGCCCCATGTAATGTGATGTGATATAATGTGAGGACTTCCTTTAAAGAAGGAAACAGGTCAGACAGTTTGCAATCAGGAATCATGAGGAGGGGAAATGCACAGTGTGAGATGGGATAAGTTTTTAAAATTCAAATATTAAATGAGGAACTATGTTTTATATGCTGATTTTAACTGTTTGAGGAAGACATTTTTGTAATAACATGACAAATTTATATATACATTTAATAATCATAAATTAATATCTGGGTTTCATTTATCCTGTAATAAAGTAAAGTAGCTAATTTGTTTATCATACACCTCTGTCACTGAAGAAACAAGGATATGTGGGCAGATAGCCGTAATCAGTGATATAAAAGAGAGCAAGTGGGTAGTTACCAAAAGAAGCCAGGAATTCATGACACCCTGCAGTACGCCAAAGCCCAACATTCACCAGAACATCAATTGCTGCTTCCTTGGCAACAAGCTTGTTTAAGATCATACGCATCTAAAATGAGAAAGAGAAAGATGTTTAAATCACATGACATAAAACTGCTGGTAACTGCTGATAAACATGAAAAGTAATGAAAAAGATGACAGTTTACAGTATCAAAAAAGAAAATATCTTCATAAAACTGCTGAAAGATATTCAAATACTTTCTGCATAAATATGTAACTTAATTGCCTAAATGATAACAAACCTGCAAAGTGCATTTGTGAACAGTATTCCAGTTACCCGATATATGACAGCTTATTGTGTGGTGTATTCATCCTAGAACAATGTAACCTCTGCAAGACTTTACCCTTGTAATTAATTGTTTTGATTTGTCCTGATGTGAACAACCTCCTTAGATGTACACCACCTATGAAAAGAAGTTTCTCTGAACCTAAGAAACTCTACATTCGTTTGATTGAAATATTCCTTATAATTCCTGAAAGTTTGCCTTTGAGTCTCTGGTACCCAAAAATCTGCACCTTAATGTTGACTGCTCTCCATAGAAAAAGCTCAGTAAGCTTTATGTGCCCTTCCAACTAGCTAGGAATCCAAACTCATATGGACATGTGCACCCCTCTCTTCGTTAACAAAAAGTATGCACTGTATTGAAACAAATATGGTAGTCAAACATTCGAGTGAGTGAGTGAGTGAGTGGTTTTAACCATTAGGCTACCCCACCTCCCTCAAACATTCAAGAGTACACTTTCATTATTATGTTGTACTTCAAAAAACCTGTCTAATATTAAAAGCAGTAGCTCCAAACAAATATAAATGAATATATATACAAAGTTCTGCTATTTTAGAATATTCTGTAAAGTGGCCACAGGTATGTTCAAAGTATGTAATTTTTAGATTAAAATTGATATTTTATACTTACCCTGACTCATGCTTAATTGCTTGCCTCTTTCTTCTTGCGAATGATAGTGGAACACTTGAATCCCCTTTTGAAGCTCCCTTAAAAAAAGCGGACGTAAAATCACTCACCCCTGTTATCTCCCTTGTGACTATTTTGGCGGGGAAAACAACGTCACATGTTCAGACATGCCCCTCACTCTCTCCTGATTAACCCTTTCAACACCGCAGGCCACTTAAGCGGCCACAACGTTATGAGTCCTCAGACAGCGGAGGCCGATTAAGCGGCCAGGCAGTAGTCACGTCAAAATGAGACATAATTTTAGGAACTTACCTGACTTATGATTCATATATTAAATCCATCACATTTCACAATGTCTGTAAACACTTATTAAATTTCAATTGATCATATATTATCGGCAGAATTAAAATTATAAACTATTTTTCGCAATGTAATTGAAAACAACGATTCTCAGACACATGCTTCGGGAGCGGGTCCACAATAACATTGTCAAAGAGCAAAGTAACGATGGTTCGAGGAAATGATTAAATAAATAGAATAAACTAATGAATAAAATCAACAATAGCATTCATAAAAGTTGTCAGACGCATTACATATAAAATTACATTTTCCATCTTTTGTGCGATCATGTAATGTAAGTCAAGTCACTGACAAGTGACATCTCGCTCGCCTCCTCAATCTTCACGCTTTCGGACACGATGTTTAATGCTAAAATATATACATGAAGCATTTTGTCACAGGTCATAACCTAGCACGATCACGTCCAATAAGTCCCATAATTTCACGATATGTAGCATTTTCTTGCTTAATATGTTCAGAATAGCATTATTTTACCCAAAACTTTCGTCTAAATCTAAAAGTTTCGTTTATTTAGGACGGTATCCATTGCCGTAATATGATTGGCTGCCTTAGGTCACGCGTCTGATTTTGACCAATCACTGACCCTTATAGCAGACTGTAGCGAAAAAGCCATTAGAAACCAATTTTTATCCAATAAAATCGCTTCTTACAACTGTGAAAATACTCGGCAAGGGTTCAGTGATGTTGTTGATGTTCAGAGCTTCGACGATACCGGCATCAAACGATTCGCCTTCCATGTTATTCATCTGAAGCTTAAAACGGAGGTATTTTCCATTGTTATGTCATGTTACCGAGCGAAAGCCACAGATATCGGGAAATAGGCGACCATACATATTATTTAAGAAGATCTCTTTTATAATAATTTTTCTGGTTACGTAAAAGTGAAAATATAAAAAGAAAAAGGCACGGGCATGTTATGACGTCACAAATGGAAAAAATCCTTAGTTTTGCTTCTTTTCGGGGTTTATCTGGACGTTAAAAATGTAAACTTGCATTTTCATTCAAAATAATTTTATTTAAGTTGTAGTTGTATTATTTGAATAATATTATAAAAATAAACTTCATATTTATCAACAGTAGGATTAGATCTTTTAAATGGTGTATGGGATGTAGTAGCAATAACGTTTTACAAGCTTATAATTTCCTTCATAAACATAGGCTTCATCTATGACCTCAGAGTCTCTGGGAACTCGGTGTCATGGCAGTAAATGCCTCTGGTTGACTGGTGTTGAAAGAGTTAAGCGCCCGACACCTAGATTACGGGGAATCCAGAGTGCCATGAGGGGAGGTTGGGAGGGCTTACCTCATGAGTCAGGATAAGTATAAAATATCAATTTTAATCTAAAAATTACCTATTTTTCCTTATCCTGACTCCTGCTTAACTCTTTCAACACCAGTCAACCAGTGGCATTTACTGCCATGACACCGAGTTCCCAGAGACCCTGAGGTCATAGATGAAGCCTATGTTTATGAAGGAAATTATAAGCTTGTAAAACGTTATTGCTACTACATCCCATACACCATTTAAAAGATCTAATCCTACTGTTGATAAATATGAAGTTTATTTTTATAATATTATTCAAATAATACAACTACAACTTAAATAAATTTATTTTGAATGAAAATGCAAGCTTACATTTATAACGCCCAGATAAACTACTTAAAGAAGCAAAAACTATGGCGCATTTTTTTCCATTTGTGACATGTCATAACATGCCCGCGCCTTTTTCTTTTATATTTTCATTTTACGCCATCAGAAAATTATTATAAAAAGATTTCTTAAATAATATGTATGATCGCCTATTTCCCGATATCTGTGGCTTTCCGCCGTCACATGACATAACAACGGAAAATACCTCCGCTTTCGCTTCTCAGATGAAGAACATGTGAGGCTTAATCGCTTGATGTCGGGTATCGCTCGAAAGCTCTGAACATCACAAATATCACTGTACCCTTGCCAAGAGTATTTTCACAGTTGTAAGAAGCGATTTTATTGATAAAGATTGGTTTCTAATGACGCTTTTCGCCACAGTCTGCTATAAGGGTCGTGATTGGTCAAAATCAGACACGGACCTAAGGCAGCCAATCATATTACGCAATGGATACCGCCCTCGTGAAAACGAAAAACTTTTAGATTTAGACAAAAGTTTTGGGTAAAATAATGCTATTCTGAACATATTAAGCAAGAAATCGCTACCTATAATGTAAATTATGGAACTTATTGGACGATCGCGCTAGGTTATGACCTGTGACAAAAATGCTTCATGTATATATTTTTAGCATTAAACATCGTGGTCCGAAATGCTGAAGATTGAGGCGGCGAGAGCCGAGATGTCACTTGTCAGTGACTTGACTTACATTACATGATCGCACAAAAAGATGGAAATAGTAATTTTATGTGTACGTTTGACAACTTTTATGAATGTTGTTGTTGATTTTATTCATTAGTTTATTCAATTTATTTAATGAATTACTCGAAACATCGTTACTTTGCTCTTTGACAATGTTATTGTGGACCCGCTGCCGAAGCATGTGTCCGAGAATCGTTGTTTTCAATAACATTGCGAAAAATAGTTTATAATTTTAATTCTGCTGATAATATATGATAAATTGAAATTTAATAAGTGTTTTCAGACATTGTGAAATGTGATAGATTTAATATATGAATCATAAGTCAGGTAGGTTCCTAAAATTATGTCTCATTTTGACGTGACTACTGCCTGGCCGCTTAATCGGCCTCCGGTGTCTGAGGACTCATAACTTTGTGGCCGCTTAAGCGTCCTGCGGTGTTGAATGGGTTAATTGCTTGTAGAATCCAACGGAACAGGTGGTGGGTCAAGCCACTCTGGATTCCATGCTGATTTACGTCCTGTATACCCCCCCCCCTGTGGGAACTTCTTATAGTACTATGCTGATCCTTCCTTCCAGCTTCCTCTGATGAGGTTTGAGGGACCACAACATGTCAGATTTTCCGGAACCACTTCTCCTGACAGTAAAAGTGGATTTATACGACTCCATGATTGATTTCCCCATCAATGGAGAAGTGACCCTTCTTCATATACGAGTAAGTCCTTACAAGTATAGGGTCTGTCACTCATGCTAGCCTATCTTTAAACGTGCGCACGGACTCTAAGCTCCAACTCTTCCGAGTGTCGGCTTTTACAAGTCATGTGATAAAGGGTGAGATTCATCTCAGTCTTTGAGGAACGTCAATTGTTGTGCTACAACAAGAGGCCAAAACTGGTGGATACCGGAGACATCCTCGGTAGCAATGTCTCTGAGGTAGTGGTTGGCAAACACCGTCTCCGACTTCCAATAGCAGCCTTCCATTATTGTCGGTTTGAGCAATTTCTATGTAGAGCAAGTGTCAATGCCAGTGCTCTTACTTCATGAGGATTGGAGGCTCGTGGTGGCTCGAGTCCTGCTGATTCATAGGCTCTCAATATGACGGCTCTCATCCATATTGATATTGTTGTACGTGAGATTTCTGTAGGTGTCTCCGTAGATAAAGGGATGAAAAGGCGCTTGAATTTTCGTCTCCTCATCTTAGACCTTTGTAGGTAGATTTGTAATGCTCTGACTGGACATAAGCATAGATCCTGAGTATCCTGTGGCCCAAGGACAGATGAAAGTGCTGGGATGTGGAATTGCCTGTCTGGCTGACCGGGCAATTGGTTCTTTGCTATGAAGTCCCATCTCAATCCCAGATGTATGATATTGCGATGTGCATCAAATCGTATTCGTTCAAAGTCCAGAGCATGTATTTCTGATATCCGAG